TGAGCATAATGGCTTAGGTCTATTTCTGGGGTCTCTTTCTATTCCATTGATCTATATGCCTATTCTTGTGCCAGTAACTGGCTATTTTGATTATGGTGGCTTTGTAGTATAATTTGGTATCTGGTATTATGATTCCTCCAACTTTGTTCTTCTTTCTCAAGATTGCTGCAGTCATTCGCTGTCTTTTTTATTTTTATTGGTACCTAGTGAATTTTTGGAGGATTTGAGCTAGATGAATCAGTTTTTTATTTATTTTTTAATTTTTTAATCCTCACCTGAGGATATGTTTTTTATGGAGTGAGAGAGAGAGAGAGAGAGATGTGCCTCCCAACGCACCCCGAAAGAGGATCGAAGCTACAACTTAGGTATGTGCCTTGACCGGAAATGAACTGAAACCTTTTGGTGTACTGGTGGTCACACCAACCAACTGAGCCATCTGGCCAGGGCTGTGAATGAGTTTTTAGAAACAACACCAAAAGCATGATTTGGTGTTGTTAAAACTGAACTTTTGCTGTGTAAAAGACATTGCTAAGAGGAATGAAAAGACAAGCTATAGATTAGAAGAAAATATTTGTAAATACATATCTACATAATTATTTGTATACAGAATATATAAAGAACTCTTAAAATTCAACAATAAGAAAATAAACAAACCATTTGAAAAATGGGATAAAGCTTTGAGCACACACCTCACCAAAGAAAATATACAGATGACAAATAAGTGTATGAAAATATGCTCAACATAATTTGTCATTAGGGAATTGCAAATTAAAATGACAATGAGATATCACTAACTGTCTTAGTTTGGGCTGCTATAACAAATTATCATAAACTGCATAATGTAAACAACATTTATTTCTCACAGTTCTGGAGGCTTGTCAACAAAGCAAGATCAAGACAATTGGCAAATTCATTGTCTGGTGAACGGTTTGCTTCCTGGTTTTCAGGTGATCATCTTCTTGTTTCACCTTCACTGGTAAGAGCAGAGGGCAGAGGGAGGGGAAGCACACTCTCCTGTTTCTTCTTATAAGGGCAATAATTCCATTCATGGCAGCTACTAATTAAGGTGATGTGTGTTGAAGCAACCAAAAAAAACCTTTTTATAGTGACTGAATTGGGAGATCTAAAAGACTGATGATGCCCCAGTCACCAGTTTCAAAGATTGAAGTAACCTTCATGACCTAATTACTACCCAAAGTCCCCTCCTCCTAATAGCATTACATTGGCTTTCAACATTTGAATTTTGTGGGAAAATAAACATTCAGTTCATAACAAACCATCTATTAGAATTACTAAAATAAAATATATGTATAATATTAATTGCTGGTAAGGATAGAAAGTATCAGGAATGAATCTCATTTATTTGTAAAGGGAATGCAAAATAAGTACAGCTACTTTGAAAGATAGTTTAGTAATTTTTTTAAAAAATATGTTTTTAGTGACTTCAGAGAGGAAGGGAGAGGGAAAGAGAGATAGAAACATCAATGATGAGAGAGAATCACGGATTGGCCACCTTCTGCATGCCCCCCACTGGGGATCGAGCCGGTAACCCAGGCATGTGCCCTTGACTGGAATCGAACCTGGGACCCTTCAGTCCGCAGGCCACGCTCTATCCATTGAGCCAAACCAGCTGGGGCAGTTTAGTAATTTCTTATAGACAAAAACGTAGTTGTACCATATGATCCAGCAATTAAATATCAAGTCTTAAAGAAGTAATATGCACAAATGCAAATTGCTAAGTGAAAGAATGTAGTATGAAAAGTCTATATGATCCATTTATATAAAATTCTGAAAAAAGCAAACAACAGAGAAATAAAACAGTTTACTGATTGCCAGAGGTTTAAGGGTTTTGGAGAGTTGAATATGGTGAAGCATAGGAGAATATTTTAGATTGGTGAAACTATTCTGTATGCTACTATAGTAGTGGACACATGACACCGTGCATTTGCCCAAATCCATAGAACATCACAGCACAAATAGTGAATCTTAATGCATACATATTTTTTTTCTTCTTAATTTTTTTAAATTAAATCTTTATTGTTCAGATTACTACAGTTGTTCCTCTTTTTTTCCCCCATAGCTCCCCTCTACCCAGTTCCCACCCCACCCTCTGCCCTTACCCGTCCCCCCCCAGCCACTGTCCTCATCCATAGGTGTACGATTTTTTTCCAGTCTCTCCCACACCCCCCACACCCCTTCCCCCTCCCGAGAATTGTCAGTCCACTCCCTTTCTATGCCCCTGATTCTATTATATTCAACAGTTTATTCTGTTCATCAGATTATTTATTCACTTGATTTTTAGATTCACTTGTTGATAGATGTGTATTTGTTGTTCATAATTTGTATCTTTACCTTTTTCTTCTTCTTCCTCTTCTTAAAGGATACCTTTCAGCATTTCATATAATACTGGTTTGGTGGTGATGAACTCCTTTAGCTTTTTCTTATCTGTGAAGCTCTTTATCTGACCTTCAATTCTGAATGATAGCTTTGCTGGGTAAAGTAATCTTGGTTGTAGGTTCTTGCTATTCATGACTTTGAATATTTCTTGCCACTCCCTTCTGGCCTGAATAGTTTCTGTTGAGAAATCAGCTGACAGTCCTATGGGTACTCCCTTGTAGGTAACTGACTGTTTTTCTCTTGCTGCTTTTAAGATTCTCTCTTTGTCTTTTGCTCTTGGCATTTTAATTATGATGTGTCTTGGTGTGGTCCTCTTGGACTCCTTTTGTTTGGGGTTCTCTGCGCTTCCTGGACTTGTAAGTCTATTTCTTTCACCAGGTAGGGGAAGTTTTCTGTCATTATTTCTTCAAATAGGTTTTCAATATCTTGCTCTCTCTCTTTTTCTGGCACCTCCATAATTCAGATGTTGGTACACTTGAAGTTGTCCCAGAGGCTCCTTACACTATCTTCATATTTTTGGATTCTTTTTTCTTTTTGGCTTTCCAGTTGGTTGTTTTTTGCTTCTTCGTATTTCAAATCTTTGACTTGATTCTTGTGATCCTCTAGTCTGCTGTTGGATCTCTGTATAATATTCTTTATTTCAGTTAGTGTATGCTTAATTTCTAGTTGGTCCTTTTTTATAACCTCGAGGGTCTCACTAGAGTTATCAAGGGTCTCACTAAATTTATTGGCAGTTTCTAGAAAATTCTTGAAAAACCTTATAACCATAGTTTTAAACTCTATATACAGTAGTTTGCTTTCCTCCATTTCTGTCATTT